CTCACATGTGAAAATTATCGCTTTTCAATAATCGCTTTTCTGCAAAAAATATCCCTTTTCAAAGACTGTCCTTTATATTATAAACAGAAAAATAAACATAAATACTTGGAAATACCAGATTTATTTCTCGAAATAAATATAATAAATATAATTTTATTATATTTTGCATTACAAATTTACTTTACTTTTTAAATTATAAAGTATAACTTACTTAGTTTCCTTTATGTATTCTTTATGTATTTGGGGGTGGTTTTAGTTTGATATGATATAAAAACATCATGAGAGTAATGGCAAAGCGGGATCATATAAACAGCCCCTTATTTAGCCAATTGTGCATGCTGCCTTTGATCCCTTGGGGGGTGAGGCAGCATTTTCCTTGCGATAGTAACTTCTAGTATGTAAATTATTAATAAGTAATAGCATGGTTTCTCGTGAAATTCGGATAAACATGCACTCGTGAGTTTTTCAAAGATCTCATATAGCACTCGTACTTCGGACTCGTGCTATTTTGAGGTCTTTGAAAAACTCACTCCTGCATGTTATATCCAAATTGCACTCGAAACCATGCATGCTATTACCTATACTAACATCATTTAATTAACTTCGTGGTTTATTAATGAGCATTGTTAAAAAGTGGGGGGGGGGGGGATAAGTAATGAATTAACCCTTTAAGTGTCAATGCACCCCAACGCGCCTCACTTTATTCTTTTACTCTGTTTAATGGCAGGCAATTTTACTCGTCAGGGGACAGTATTGCCACTCAATTGGTTAATCAATAGGTGCATTAACACATTGGATGGCAACGTACTCAAATGTTTTCTTGCTCTGTCTAATGCCAGATGTTTGTTGTCAAGGAGATTCTTATAATACAATATGTTCACATGCATAAGTACGTATACCTTATAAACCTATATTTAATATTTACAGGCATAAAGTATGTACACATGCATGGTAGTGTTGCTGCACCTGTAAGTTACACTGAAAGTGTTGATGATGATTCTGGTGAGCAAGACTATCTCTACAACTACATGTACCATACTACCAAGCTAACATATTGTTTACTTCTATTGGAATTCAACAATGCGGGAAAGGAGGTAGATGGAGAACGCTTATTCAAAGTGTATAAATTAGCAATGCTTTTCTATAAAAAGAATGGTCATTTTAAGTATGCCTATGCAGTTCGTTTATATTTGAGCCAGATAAAAGCTATATTGTCAGAGTCAGAGGCATGTGATTTAAAGTGGAACAGATTTCACAACAAGTTTGGTGGAAAGGGTAGGAATATCCCCCCCCCCCTCGATTTGAAAAAGGAACAACACAACAAAGTGCTGAAAACGATATGGAAAGGTCCTGGGTCAAATCTGTCAGAACAGAGTGCATCTCGAGAGCTAAAGCATTAGATTGAATTGAAGATCTTCAAAGAATTGAGCTCCATTCACATTGACTGTAGGTTAGAAAAAAAGGTAAGGACGACATTCTAAGAAAGGTCCTGAAGAAAGCGTCACACAAATTCTTGGAGAATTGATGAAAAAAGGTCACAAATCGTTTCCAAAATTTGAAGCAAATCTCTAGAAGGTCTAGATTACAGAGACCTTCACAAATGGATGACTGATTATCTTTCATCATGGGCTTCAATATATGAGGAACGAGCAAAATAATGTACATGGCATTTTCAAGTGGCGAGGATTTGATTTTTGCTTATCTATTTGGTATTTGTAATTACTTATGTGTAATTGTTTCTTGTTTGTTTCGATTTTTATTGGAAACAAATTAGTTTTAACTGTAAAGTAAACATTGATATTATACTATAATAAAATTGCTTTTATTCTACAATAAATGTATGTATATGTGTCAAATCTATTAGATTAACCTATGTTGATCCTATAATAATTTATTCATTTAAATAAAGCGCATATGTTAATATATTATATACTCGAAGCGCTGTACATTATAAAAATCTAAATATATTAAGAATTAAATATGCTATATAAAACATGGTTTTGTTTACAATTAGAATATACACTAATGTATGTATCTATAATAAGAATGACAGAATCCAATATGGTCTCAACCTATAAAGGATTATAAGCCTTTTTGAAAAGAAATGTTTTCAAGCGTTTCTTAAACACAGAAATGTTTTCACAGTTCCTGACATCCAGAGGCAGAGAATTCCATAATTGTGGAGCAGCATGTGCGAAAGCCCGATCTCCTAGAGTCTTACAGTTTGTTTTCGGGATGTATAATTGACCTTCACCATCCGATCGTAATGTCCAGCGATCACTTGATTGTTTTGGGATAAGCATTTCAGAGATGTAGATAGGGGCAATGTTATTAAGAGCCTTGTAAACCAGTAAAGCAATTTTGATTTCCACCCGGAATTTTACCGGTAGCCAGTGAAGTGATCTCAAAACTGGGGTGATGTGAGAAAATCTTGGACAGTGGTAGATTAGTCTAGCAGCGGCATTAAGAACTCTCTGAATTCGCTGGACTTGATACTGAGGTATGCCAGTCAACAGAGCATTACAATAGTCCACGTGTGATGTCACGAAAGCATGTATCAAAGTTTTCGTTGTATTAGTAGATAAAAATTTTCTAATTTGTCGTATTTTATAAAGTCCTCTGAATGCTTTACTGCACATCTTGCCAAATGAACTGACATTGACATATGTTGTCAAACCAAGATCCCAAGTTTCGACCACTGTCAACCGGCTTAATTTGGACCCCAACAACGTTAAATTATCCTATAAACTTTTCCATTAATTAACCCACTGAGTTGCATTGTTCCCTACTTTATTATATTACTCTGCCTAACGCCAGACAATTTTACTTGTCACGTCAAGGGGAGAGCCCCGGCACTTTTTATTTTTAACTGGCCTATCTGCTCATGTGTCTAGTTAACCCATTGAGTTGCATTGCGCCCTATTTTATTATTTTACTCTGTCTAATGTCAGATGATTATACTCGTCAAGGGGAGAGCTCTGGCGCTTAATCGGGTGAGTGAAAATCATCTGGTGTTAGACAGTCAGAGAAAATTAATGATGTAGAACACATTTCATTGCGCTCATGGAATTTATAAGGCATAAATTCAGTGGTGTGGTGGCTGGGGGGCCATAGCCCCCCCCCCCCCAGCGATGGTTTCAAGAGGGGCGCCGAAATGCCATTTGTAAAAATGAACCATGTCAGCCACCCGAATCCGTTTTATCTGAGAGAAAAAAGAAAATTGGAGAACGTAACCGGTACTGCTCGCAGGCGGTATTCTTACACGAAGATCAAATTAGGCGCAAATGGCTTTCATACTCGCTAAGTAAGGATTGTCTATTCTGCCTCCCATGTCTCCTATTTTCAGATGAATGTTTAAGAGGCGAAAACACGCGCCACAACCAAGGAAATGCTTTTACGAATGCTGGGTACTCGAACTGGAAGAAGCAGTACAGTAATATCACAAAGCACGAAAAGTTCGAAAGCCATATAAATGCCAAGATTGCTCAAGTTATCTTTTGGCAAGGACGATCAATCGATTCATGCTTGAAGCAACAAGAAAAGACCGAAATTTTGCGTCGGAAGAAAGAAGTCGTGGCAAACCGCAGCCATTATGAAACGTGTTGTCAACACTGTTGTACATTTGGGAAAGCAGGGACTTGCTTCCAGAGGGCATCGAGAATCGCTAATTGATGACCCAGAAGCAAACAAAGGAAATTTTCTAGAGTCGCTGAATTACCTGTCAACCTTACGATATAACAACTGCGAATCATCTTGAAAAGGTAGAAATCAACAAGCTATATCGAGAAGAAAGGGCGGGAAAAAAGGTGCCAAAGGACGGGGTTCGAAACTAACTTTCCTCAGCAACGATACTCAGAATAATGTGATTAAAATTATTGAAAGAGAAATCGCCTCGCAAATTGTCAAAGAAATCGGTAATTGCAGAGCATGGGCATTAATAGCCGACACCACACCGGATGTCAGTCACCACGAGCAGGATTTGTGCAAGGATCGTTAATCGTAATGGAAAATGCTCCGAGCATCTTTTGTCTTGAAAAAGAGCTTCCGGTACAAGAGCAATGGAACTATACAATCTAATCTCAGAAACACTTGTCTCGAAAGGTGTGTCGTTTGGTAAATTCGTAGCACAAACATACGACGGCGCTTCGAATATGAGCGGCTGCTACAACGGCTTGCAAGCGATCATCAGGGAGAAAGTTGGAAAGCATGTTGCTTTTGTCCACTGTTATGGGCATACGCTTAATCTTGTTTTGTCCGACTCTGCAAGTGTTGATGTTCAAGTAATAAGCCTCTTCAATGACATCGAAGCCTTGTACGTTCTCTTTAGCAAGACACAAAGAATCCATGATTTGTTCGAAGCTGTCCAACTGGAAGAGAATCTGAAAGTATAGATGCGTTTAGATGTGCTGACGAATTGTTCAATTTTGCTCGTTCTTTTGAGAAATTCGACTGTTCAACTGTCTGCCAGCAAGAAGATGATGATGATGACAGCGAAGACGACGAGGGCGACGATGGTTAGGGAGCTTTAGATTTGACTACGAGTACGACTACGAGTACGAGATTTGATCGCGTGCGAGGAAATTACCGTAGTCGTTTTCGTTTCGATTCAAATGTTGCTTTTATAACAGTAAACCAACAACGAGAGAAAAAGTTTCATAAACTAAATCTCCTACAGACTAAAATCCCCTGCAAAACGTGTAAATAAGTCATAACATTAAAAACAGGCCAGATATTTAGTACTAAGATATTATTTGCGCCGGATAAACGCTATATAAATGCTACAAATTATTTTTGGAAAACAAAAAAAAGCCAACTTTCTTTGTTTTTTTGAAAAGTCATCGTGAGGACTACGAGATTTCTCCACAATTTCGTACTCAGATGGGCGACGGCTACGACTTTTTCGCGTCAGTACGGGATGGCGTAAGCATACAGCATGCGTTTAGCTTGACGAATCTCGTACTCGTAGTCAAATCTAAAGCTCCCTACTATGATGATGATGACGGTGAGGACAACGGATGGTTATGATGATGATGACGAGACGACAACGACGTTGTCGTCTCGTTATCATCATCATAACCATTACGAAATCTCAAGCACGTTAGATAATGAGCAGAGCGACAGCGGCGGCAAGAAAGCTGAAAAACAAACGAAGAAAAAAGTTTCATCTTTCTCTGAAGCTCTTTCACTCCTTTGTAATCCAGATTATAGTTTGGTTGATGCGTATCCAACTCTCTGTCGCGTTTATGCTATTGCTGTGGCCATCCCAGTTAGTTCGTCGACTCCAGAGCGTTCGTTTTCTGCACTCAAGAGGGTGAAGACTCGCATTCGCTTATCCATGGTTCAGGAGAGACTTGAATCTTTGCTTTCAATGTCAATCGAGCGTAAAATTTTGCTCAAATGCGATAAAGAACATCTCATTAACTTGTACGCAGGGCTTTCTCCCGAACTGTCAAAAGCTCTACTTTGACTTTCATTTGGTTCGTTGGTTGTCTTTTAAAACTGTATATGTGATATTATGCTCAATTTGCATAAACCATAGCTTATAGTCTATACATTATTGACGTTTGACCAGGAACAAAATTATGTTCTCTCATTATCGGCAAATGATAGTGAAAATTGTATTATAGTATAATTATATGCGTTGATAATATGCTACAACAAAACCTGACTAACATTGTTTTAGATTGGTACTTGGTGGAAAACTGTTTCACAAATGTGTTTTCAGAATGCTGGAAATGCCATTTCACAGACTTAGATTTTAAAAAAATTTCTGGAAGAGCATCCCCCCAGACCCTTCTAGGTCTCTCGTGCCTACGACACCCGATGTGTACACTCGCACTAATTTTCGAGAGGCTGGGCGGGAGGGGGGAGGGGGGGGCAATAATCGAGATAACTCTTAGGGGCGACAAATTTAACACTGGCCCCCCTTGAAATTTTCGAGCCACCACGCCACTGGGCATAATAGTACTGTATCTATAGGCTGGAATGGTTTTTCAGTATACCAGAAAATGCCAGTTTTTTTAAAAAATGGTTTTTCGGTTTTGCCAAAGTCCATGCAATTACTGAAAAAATATGAAGAGCTGAAAAAAACAAGATAAAAGGCTAATGTCTCCATCAGTATAAAAACCAGAGTTGTAGACTCGAGTCGTGTGGCTTGAACTCGAGTCGCAATTTTTGTGACTTGGGACTTGACTTGGACAAAATGACTCGTGACTTGACTTGGACTTGCAAGAAATGACTTGTTACCAACGCAAGTCAAACGTAAATATCTAGTGAAAATCAATTTTCCAAAATCTTTGTGTTGATCGATCGATCATCGTGTTGTACAATTTGGGCAACGACCTTAGTACAATATCAATGGCATCAGGGACGCCGGAAAGTCGATAATTAGGGGGGGGGGCAGATATTCGTATATTCGTGTTCACAGACTGTAAAAACAATCGCTTTCAAAGGAAATAAATGATGCAGAACATGAATATATGAGTATCTGCCCCCCCCCCCAATTATCGACTTTGCGGCGTCCCTGAATGGCATCGACAGAATTTGTGCCGGCGTATTTTCTGACAAAGCGGGTTTTTCGCGATTTCGTGGTAAATTTCTGACATAAAATAACGACGCCATATTTACATATTTTGCCGTGTTGCGTGGGAAAACATGGCCACATGTGGCGATAAAATGACTTGTGACTTGACTTGAATTGACTTGCCACTCGGAATGACTTTTGACTTGACTTGGACCTGCAGGAAATGACTTGTGACTTGACTTGGACTTGCAACATAGGACTCGTTAACAACTCTGATAAAAACACATTACTACACTGTTTTATGTCTGTGTTATTTATAGATAAAAACCAATCTTTTTGAGTTTTTCCTGATGGTTTTCGTTTTGTTAAGAACCGCTCGAGCCTAACTGTATCCCCCTTTACAAGTAGGATCATATGCAGTATGACAGAGTAAAATAAAGGCACATTTTTATGTGTTTAATGAGTTGCAAAATACATGTACAGTACTTAATTGTAATCTACTATAAGAAACAAAAATGAATGTAATGTGATAGATTTTCAATTTCTGGTTAATGTTAGACAATTTCATTCCCCAATTTGCTGAAGAGGGAGTAATATAAACATAATAAATTTTTAACAGAGTACTCACTGCTATTGTATTTCCAGATCAAGTTCATCACTATCAGAATCTGAACTATCAAGGTAACCACAATAACTAACTGGTCTGTAATATCTGTGTTCAGTATGGGTAGTTGCATATCATCATAATTAGGAATACCATCAAATATTTCTTGAAAGACCTTAATTCTTATAGCATGTACCAAGGCAAACACAGGAAATGAACTGATAATATCCTCAACACCGATATTTCATTGCATCTCTCAACTACATCTTGGATTAGTTCGACTGAGAATCCGTAAGATAAATTTTTGTCAAATGGACGTGGACCTGATATACTTTGAGATTCACGTAACTCCAAAAGTGCAGAATATAACACAGGTCTTGTAATTTGCGGTTGTTTATTAAGAATTTCTGTTAGTGCGTTACCAAATGGAAGTGGATCAACTATGCACTCATCCATATTGCATTTGCCAGTGGCGGAAATCTCGGTGGGGCGGGGGGCGGCCGCCCCCCCCCCCACCTTCGTGGAAAATGACGAATTTGTGGAAATTTTGACCTATAAAAGGGCTAAAAACAGCCTTTTCGAGTGCAAATGGGGGGGTTGTCGGGAATTTGAAAGTTTTGTCGGAAATTTAGAAGGCTTCGCCCCCCCCCCCCACCGGAAAAAGTGAATTTCCGCCACTGGAATTTGCACAAGGTCAAACAATTACTGTAGCAATCATGACCTAGCTGGTTCAAGTGGTTTAATATTTGGATCAAATGCACTATAGCTGGTTACCCTAAGACAGGATGTTGACTTAACAAAGAATTTTAATTACTTCGTCCTCACAGTGAGTTAATTGTTGTTCATGGTAAATAACCACAATATCTGATTGTTTTCCATCGCGACCAGCTCTCCCTGATTCTTGATGGTGGTCTAACAAATTGCGTGCTGGACCCCGGCCAATTGATAATGTAACGAATGTCCGGGAAATTTACAACCCTACTTAATGCTGTGGTCGCTACAACTAAGCGTACTTTCCCGGCCATTGCTTTTGAGTTGAGAAACAATTTTGTCTTTGTAGTTGTCCCAAGACATGAATGATATATATCTATTAGACAATCCTCAGATTCCCTGCATGCATGTTGGTAGACTGTAAGCAGATGCCCCAGCTTCAACATAAGATAGTTAGTCACGGTTACAACATCTTTCATAGGGTTGAAAAACAAGATAGTCTTGGCTGTTTCAGACTGTTTTCCGTGACACAATTCAACCAACCAATCTAAGTGGAAAGTGCATCCTTTAAATTCCTTTTTTGTAGTTTTGATCACATTTATCGGCAAATTTGTTCTGTTTGGGCTTAAAATTAAATACTTCTAGAACATCCGAATTGATTGCAAGGCCACACATGATAACCTCTCGCGTGTATGATTGTCTGCTGTAGGCCTACCAGTCAATGCTAAGACAGATGTTCCTGTTGTGTAAGAAAAGTGCATATATAAGTGTTGATATACAAGTAATTTAATCAATACAGGGTTCGTAGTCTCCAAGACCAAAAAAATTTAAAGACTCTATCACAGATTTTTTCTGCCTATTTTCAAAGAGATTTCAAAGATATTTGAGAGCATGAATCATGAGTTGTCGAAAAATTGCGAGGCTAAGCACCATTTTTTAATTCCGTCAATTCACATCCTAAAATGCGCCTTTTCGTCGATATTTGCGAAAATCTTGCTTCCATCAATCTATTTTATTAGCCAGGAAATCATTTAGTCAATTCGTCACTAAAGAATTTAAAGACTTTCTTTGCTTTTCCACGCAATTCAAAGACTTTTCAAAGACCTTAAAGAGATGCATTCAAATTTAAAGACTTTCAAGGATTTCAAAGATATAACCCTGCAATGTGAAACATGTCATATAGATTATACTAATTTTAAATATTAGGTACAAGTAAACCTACCTTCCTTCCTTCCTAATGATCTCAAGATCGAGAGATCACCATAGGCTGTTCTAAAGCTTTTTGCATTCTCGTACCTAAAATACATACAGATGAATGTCATATGTTGATAAAAACAGTCGTATATTTGAGCAAAGTAAACAGGTACACACAAACTTTTTAAACCTTTTCCCTGTCCACATCTCTACTGTATGAGATTCGTCAACAACTACCAATTCCAACGCATTGTGTAATCTTGATGACCGGTCTTTGACAATTTCGGTAAATGTCGACTTGGTGAGAAGCTGTTCAGCTGACGCAAACACAACCTGGTGTGTATCACGATCACTGGCCTTCAGAAATTCATCGAGAGTGACCGCACACTTCAAACCCATGCAACGATTCTCCTTCCTTTATTTGATCTCCTATAATGCTGGTCAACGGGCCTGAGATCACCAAAACGATAGCGTTCGGTTCCATCGCTTGCACTATCTTCTTGCAATTCATTGCCATAAGAAATATTGGAAAGACGAGACTTTACCATATCCCGTTGGCATAAAGGAAAAACATCTCTTCCTCCAAGTAAACAATTGACAGTCTGTTCTTGTTTCGTTTTTAATTGAAAAAAGTGACCAGATTCGGTTTTAATCTTATCGAGAGCTTTTGTAATAAATACTTCGCCATTTTGAAAATTTTAGCCTTGGGGCTTTCACTTATCTATATAGAATCTAACCGCAAACAGCCAATGAGTATGCTGCGTTCGTGTGCGAACACGGAAAGTACAAAATATACCGGACCTTGCTTGCAGGCCCACTATTCCGTTAAATAAGCTACGAGTGTATATTTAGTTTCTTGGGGTATACCTAGTTATTGATATATCTAGATTATAGCACGTAAACTTTTTCGAACAACCGCCTGGTGAAGACCATATATAAATTTAAGTTATATCTATATATCTATATGATAACGAGCACTCTTTGTTATATATATATATATATATATATATATATATATATATATATATATATATATATATATATATATATATATAT